GAAATTTCATTTGACCCAGCTATTTTACCTTCTAGGTATCAAAGACATATTACAGTGATCCATACAAACCCATGTTTATAGCAGCACAATTCGTAATAGCTAAATCTTGGAAGCAGCCTAAATATACCTCAACAGATGAATAGGTAAAAAAAAAAGAAAAAAGAAAAAAAAAAAGTGGTATTTGCACACAGTGCCATGAAAGATAAACTAATCATTTGTAGAAATTGGATTTAAAAAAAGAAAAATGAAAAAAAAGAAAAAAAATGGATGTACATCTTGAAACCATACTAAGCAAAATAAATCACACACACCATCTTAAATGTCACATGATTTCTCTCATACGAGAAAACTAAAACATAAAGAGCAAAACATTAGACACTAGAAAGCAAGAGACTACAGGGAGTGGAGGATGAAAACATAATTGAGGGGTTATGTGCGTATGCCAACTCCCACAAGGAATGTAAACATTACATACACAAACACGTACTAATAAAATAGTACTTTGTAAGTAAAAAATAAAATGTAGAACATAAAACATTGATGTGTGCACTTTAAAAGGTGAATTTTATTGTATAGAAATTAAATCTTTTTTTTTTTTTGGATTTGGTACAGGGTACACATGGTCTCACTACGTAGAACAGACTCACTGATCTTCCTGTTTTCAGCTCCCAAGTGCTGGGATTACAGGCATATGCCACCACGCCCAGTCTCAGCCGCTGTCTCAGTGTGCCAGGGGGCGGGGACGGGGGCGGCATGGCATGCCTGGGATTGAACCCAGCTGCTGCGCTCTGCCAAAGCAGGAGCTTTGGTCCACTGAGCTATCTGGTTGGCCCTCTTAAATTTTTTAAAACACATTTTAAAAACTCCAGGTTAGGCAAATTTTGCTATAGAGTCAATAATACTCTAAAAACATACAATCCAACTCTTAACAGATGATACTGCTTTTTTAAATAAAAAGGTTTTCCCTACCAATAATAGTAAATCAACCCACACTGCTAACACTTAGCACATTATAGGCTATCCAAGCACAGTTCATAACAACAAAGAACCTACTCTTATCTTTAGGTCCAATTTTTAGTAATTTGTGCCTACTCATTTAATGCTTCTGTGGAATTACCTGTACTCTTAAACACAAAAAAAGATTCTCCCTAATGACTACAAAGTTTCATTAAACCAACATACGACAGACCTCAGTACTTCCAGGACACTACTTTCAAGTAGTGAGCAAAGCCTGGAAACTGACTGTGTTGAGGTTAGTCCAGCCCTTGGTGCCACTCCGGGCCTTCCTGTGCCCCACCAGCCCCATTCCCATTCCCATCCCTTGTCAAGTCACAGTGGTCCCTCACCTATCGCAGAGGTTAGGCTCCAGACAATCCCATGATAAGAGAAAATCAGCAAAGTAGCAACGTTGTATTTATTTTAGTACTTATAAGTATTTTAAGGCTTTATAAACCCTTCTCACACTTATAAACTTTTCCCACACTTATAAAAAAAATGTTAACCATTTTCTAAATTCATAAACCTATGTAATTTTAACAACATATGAATACTGTACGATACTTCAAAATCCCGTAATATAACAAAAAATCCACAGTAAATAATTTAGGACAGGAGCCGGGGAGATGGCTCAGAGGAATAAGTGCTTCCCTGGAAAGCACAAGAGTCTGAGTTCAATCCCTGCTTCCTCAAAAAATAATAATAATTTAGGACAATATTTTTTGAAAACCCGTGGAACAGTGAGTCCATGAAAGTCAAGCCATGTGATAGTAAGGGACTACTTACTTATTACTGTCCCTTTCTTGACACTGTTTAGCAGAGTTCCTTAAGCAAAGACCATTGTCAGAAACAGTGAAGATTACCCATACACAGGCCAGGGACCATACTATTCTAATTTTCACGCCCTCTGCAATTCCAAACCACCCCAGGCAGACACATTTAGAGCCCATGTGCAATAAAGAAAACTAAAACATGGAAAATTATTTTTGATACTGAGTTAAGAGTATCTCACAGGACAAAATGGGGAAAATCAAATGTGAGGTCTCCATAGCAGTTTTTCTCTTGGTCACCCTCATATAGATGACATCCTATAAACACAACATGCTATGCTCCCCTTTAAGGTTCCAAATGCTTTCTATGTGAAGAGACTGTACATTCACTGGTAGTGGACTATAAAAATGCCCAACAGATTTCCGTTGTCTCGAAAACTCATCAAGCTCACTTTTTCCTTCCAAATCACTTTCCTTCTATTCATCTCTCACTCTCTAAATGCCATCTGTCCTTACCTGTCACTTCTCTAATACTGGCTGTTCCCTTTCATTCATCACATTAAAACCTTAAGATGAAAAAGACATTAGTTACCTCTTGTAACAATGGGATAACAGCATGCAAGGGTATCCTTAACACAGTCTTCTTTATCAGGTTTAAATTCCTAGTTTGAAGTACTTTCTGTGAGCAAATGAAACAATTATTAAGATAAAAATAACTGTAAAGTCGATGTAAGAAAAGCCATAAAAATGATTTGAAACAAACTGAAGCAATAAACTACCAAATCAAGACTGCAGGGACTGAACAGAAAATATCTTATGTCTTGTGGTTTGCAGGAAATTTATCTCTTACCAACTTTTTATATACCATTTTAGAGATATTTCCAAGCCCTCCTTTTTGAAGGGTCTACGTACTTCAGGCTGTCCTAGAACTCAAAAGTAACTCTTCCGTCTCCCAAAGGCTGGGATTGTAGGCGTGCACCACCACACCTGGTCCAAGTCTGCATTTTATTACAGCTGTACCCACAAGAGTGAACAGAGCAGTAAAATCACACTTAGCAAGAAACCTCTTTAACATTGCGAATTTTCTCAACACAATTTTAAACCAAATAAAAAATCATATGAACATTTTACTCAAAGTCTCCTGACAGCTAGATCCACAAGAGAAAAATAGCCTCCATTCTGGGTCATAGAAAAAGGGTCACACTCCCACAGTGTGGCCCTTCAAAGCTGCAGCTTCATGGGCCTAGACATCTACTTTAGTTTCTGAGCCTGACATGCTTTATGGAGGTAGGGAAGAAAGAGGAGGAAGGGTTCTTTTATTTCTCTGATTTCCTCTTCAATGTTTTTAAATATAAACAGCAAGCATACTAAAGTTCAATAATAATGTAAGAGCTTCCACTCTTTTTCTTTCTGTTTTGGTGTTACTAGAGGTTGCTCATTCTAGATTAACAGTCCCTAACAAATCCTGTTACAACTCACTATGGATTTTGAAACTACCTTTATCCCAACTCTTTCTGAATACACCAATGCTATTTTTAATTAGATATAATTATCTTTATAATTACAAAGTTTCTTATGCAAAATAAAACATCGTATATAATTACTGAGGAGGTAAGGGATGAATTGATGTGTCTTCATACAGTAGTTAAAATTAGCTTCAACTTTCATCTTCAAATGACCAAAATATAGGATTCCAAGCAAAATTTACAACTTTAACAATGAGAAAGAGGATGGCAAGATAGCTCAGCAGACTAAGCACCTGCTCAATCAAGCCCAGGGATGGGGGTTCAATCCCTAGCACCACATGCCATGTGGCCTCTGTCCCCAGACACACTGAGCTGGCCACAAAGACTGGGTGTGGTGGTGCACGCCTTTAATTCCAATGTTGGGGAGACTGAGACAGGAGGATCACTCCAAGCCCAAGCTGCAGAGTGACACCCTGTTATCAAATACATTGAAAAAATAAAAATTAAGAAAACAATGAGAAGGTACCTAATGAGTATTCCTCAAATAAATCTCAATTCCAAGCTTCAAGAATATGTAGAAAACATTCTATGTGACTATTCCACAAATTTCTTTTTGAGGTATGTCATGCTTTTGAATTTTCATAAGACATTCACCTAAACCACCAGTCTTCACTGTCTTAAATGGCTAATCGGAGTGGCAGAGCTTTAGGTAATGGCATTTAATATAGAACTTGTTGGTGCCCGTTACTTAACCCAAAAGCTTGGTTAAGAGAGATAATGGGGTTGTGTGTGTTGGCTCCAGCCTCTAATCCCAACAGTGGGGGAAGGGGACACTGAGGCAGGAGGATCATGCAAATTAAGAGGCCAGAAAAGGCTTCATAGCAAGATCCCATCTCAGACAGACAGACAGACAGACAGACAGACAGACAGACACACACACACACACACACACACACACACAGAAAAAGATAAAGAAACAATGGGGCTGGACATGTACCTTGGTGGTAGACCACTTGTCTAGCATGTGTGATGTGAGACCCTGGGTTCATCCCCAATAGCACAAAATATATACATAACGAAGTGCTATGGGAAAGATACATGGTTTGTGAAATCCACTAATACTATAATAGGACACTTTCTGAAATAGAAGGAGTTGACATCCACAAGGCAGGAGGTATAAACCAGAACTATAGAAACAGCAGGACCTATTACAAGTTATCACAAACTGTAAGACCTTTTTTATTGTTTTTTTTGTGGAACCGGGGATTGAAGTCAGGCCCTTGCGCTTCTGGCAAGCGCATATGCCACTGAGCTATCTCCCCAGCCCCTGACAAACTATAAGACTTTTTAACAAACTCTTGGGTACTTCTTATGCCCACTGAAGACAGAGGTTCTATGGAAACAATTTCAAATTTTAAACAAAGCAACTGTAAATAACTTTTCCAAAACTAAACTACATGGCAATGAACGGAGAAGTCAGCATCATTATCTTCCATGGAGGATACATTTAAGAAATGACTATAAATGAAAATTAATTATCGGCAAGATGATATAGAAGATGCAATTTTGCTTCCACTTCTCTGTGCCACAAATGACACATACTAAACATTTTTAAGAACATTATTTGAGGCTGAGGCAGGAGGATCACTGTAAGTTTGAGGTCAGCCTGGGCTACAAAGTGCGTGCAAGGTCAGCCCAAACTACATAGTAAAACCCTGTCTGAAAAAGATTTTTTTAAAAAATAGATGGTAGTAGAGTCAGAAAACAAATTTTCTTTTTAAAAAATTATTTTTCACAAAGTCTTAGATATAGCTCAGAGGCATAAACGCCTGCTTGGCAAGCACAAGGTCCCAAGTTCGATCCCTGGTACCAAAAAAAAAATTTTGTTTTTAATTATTTGACAGTTTAAGAAACATGTTTACCCATGAAACAAGCATTATTATGAAAACTAATGTTACCCTTAAGGGTCCTTGGGCCCCTATATAACTGGATCCCTCCCCTATAACTCCCATCCTTAGGCCACCACTGCTCTACACAGTATTTTCTTGCCTTTCTTTCAACAAGGTTTTGGTATGTATCTCAGGCTGGCTTCAAGCCTCTAATCCTTCTGCCTCAACCTTCTAAGTGCCAGGATTACAGGTGTATGGTATCACACTTGTATTCATCTGCATTTTCCAGGATTTTTACATGGATAGAATCACAATATTGCCCTTTATGGTCTGATTTCTTTCTCAGAGCACAACTAAGTGAGAGTCATCCATGTTGTTTGTATATAAACAATACATTCTTTGTATTAGGATATAAACAATTTATCCCAATTTGATTTGAAACTGTCTCATTGCTATTTGTTTCTCAAAATTATGGTGGGGGAAAAAAACAATTTATCCATCCATTTACTGAGGGACACTGTGGGTCCTTTCCATTTCTCAACTATTACAAATGAGGTGGCTATGAACATTCATGCCCAAGTTTTTATCATGAATATATGTTCTTTGATAAATACTTAGGAGAGTAATGGGACAAGGGCACACACCTGTAATCCCAGTACTTGGGAGGCTGAGGCAAGAGGTGTACTGTGAGTTTGAGGCCAGTCTGGACTTCATTACAAGTTCAAGCTCAGACTGAACTACATAGCAAGGCCCTGTCTCAAGAAACAAAAACTGAGGGCCCGAAGTGCTTGCCTGGCAAGTGCGGGGTCCTAAGTTCAATGCCTGGTACCACAAACAAAGAAAAAAAAAAAAAAAAGAAAGAAACAAACACTGAGGTCAGGAATACAACTCTGTGGTGCAGGGCCTGAGTTCAATTCTGGTATCCAAAACAAAAACAATGGGGGAGGGGGGCGCGCAGGGAGACGGCTCAGTAGAATTAAGCACTTCCCTGGCAAGCGCAAGGACCTGAGTTCAATCCCTGGTTCCTCCAAAAAAAAAAAACAATGCCGGGGAGATAGCTCAGCGGCATAAGCGCCTGCCTGGCAAGAGCAAGATCTGAAGTCAGATCCCTGTACTGCAAAAAAAAGAAAAAGAAAAAGAAAAATGTATAGGTGCAGAATGGTTGAATGATATAGCAGGTATATGCAACTTTTAATAAATTACAAAAGTTTTCCAAAGTAGCTGTACCTATCAGCAGAACATGAGTTTTAGGTGTTCCATATTCTCAACAGATACTCTTCTTAATGTTAATGAATTTTTAACAAATATACAGTGTGGCTGCAATGTTGCTTTAATGTGCATTTCTGTGAAGATTAAAGACATAACACAGACATTACACAGGCTTATTGTCCATTTGTGGAAGCAGCCACTTAAAGGCCTGAGCTAGGGCCAGGCCCCCTGTCCATTTGAATTCTATAAAGTGTCTTCAAATTTTTAACGATCTTTAAAATTTGAGGGCCAGGGAAATAGCTCGGTAGAATAAGCACTTGTCTGGCAAGCACAAGGCCCTGAGTTCAATCCCTGGTGCCAACAAAATAAAGAAATGAATGAATGAATGAATGAATGAATGAAATAAAAAAATAAAATTTGAGTTAAATCTATCAATAAGAGTTCTTCAGCCAGGCATGGTAGCATATGCCTGCAATCCCAGCACTCGGTAAGACTGAGGCACAAGAAGTGCACAAGTTCAAGGGCAGCCTGGACTACAACTGTGGATACCAGCCCTTTGTCCAATTATGAGTTACAAATATTTTTCCCAGCGTACTGTCTTTACACACCAACTTTATTATTCAAAAATACAAGTTCCATGCTCACTTCAGCAGCACATGTACTAATATTGGAACGATACAGAGATTAGCATGGCCTCTGCGCAAGGATGACACGCAAATTTGTGAAGCGTTCCATATATTTAAAAAAACAAAAACACAAGTTCCCATCAGGCATAGTGGTAAATTCCTGTAAACACAACGCTTGGGAAGCTGAGGCAGGAGGACTGCCAGAGTCCCAGGCCAGCATGCTTTACACAGTGAGTTCCTGTCTCAAAAAACAAAATTAAAAGACTACAAATTCCTAACTTCGAGAAAGTACAAATAACTATCTCATGTTTACATTTTAAGCTTTTTAAAATGTATCCTTCTATCCTAGAAACTTTGCAAATATTTCTAGAAGCTTTATGTTTTATAATAACACCTTATTATAAAAGATGATCCATTTTATAATGGGTTTTGTGTAAAATAAAGCTGAGGTTAATTTTTTCCCATGGTATGATGTCTATTTTTGAACTCCATTTTCTTCATCTGTTTTGGGCTTTTTTTTCCCCACCAATATTATACTACCTTTAAGAAAAAAAGGGGGGAGCTGGGGAGATGGCTCAGTGGAATAAGCGCTTCCCTGGCAAGTGCAAGGGTCTGAGTTCAATCCCCAGTTCCACCTAAAAAAAAAAAAAAAAAAATTACACTACCTTGATTACACAGCTTTACCTTAAAATCAGATAGGCTAATTCATCTAACTCACACTTTATGGTTTTTTTTTTCCTATTTCTCGCCCTTTGCATTTCTATATAAATTTAGTATTTGTCAGCTAATTCCTTTTAATTACTTTTGCAGTACTGGGAAATGAACAAAGCCTCACACATGCTTGGCAAGTGCTCTACTGCAAAACAACATTCCCAGCCTCTTTTTTCTAAAATTTACTGTAAAATGGGCTGCCCAGGCTGATTCCAATTTGCAATCTTCTTCCCAAGTACCTGGGATCACAGGTAATCACTGCCATGCCCAGATGGCCTTCTAAAAGGTGACTACAATGGCTGCTGGAATTTTTCTTTTTTTTTCTTTTTGGTGGAACCGGGGATTGAACTCAAGTCCTTGTGCTTGCCATGCCAAGTGCTTATTCCACTGAGCTATCTCCCCGCCCCTGGCTGCTGGAATTTTAATTGGCAGGAGTTGAATGTCAAGATAAACCAGGAGGGCTGGTGAGATGGCTCAGTGGTCTAAAGCACCTACTTAGAACAAGCTAAGCTAAGCAAAGCACAGGGACCACAGTTAAATCCCCCAGCACCACATGCCAGCCAGCCCCGCCCCCTGGTGGGCTGAGCTGGCCACATACACACACAAAGAAAGAAAGAAAGAAAGAAAGAAAGAAAGAAAGAAAGAAAGAAAGAAAGACAGACAGACAGACAGACAGACAGACAGACAGACAGACAGACAGACCGACCGACCGACCGACCGACCGACCGACCGACCGACCAGGAGATAATTCCTCATTGTAAGACAACCAAATATTCTAACCCACAAAAACATAGTTTAGCCCTCCATTTCCTTAAGTGTTCATTAATTTCTCTAGCTGTTATAGTTTTCACTGTGGAGATGTGATCATCTGTTTCAGATTCATTCTAGGTGACTTTCATACTGCAATAGTGGGGCTACGGAGACAGGGCAGAGGTCTAAGCGCCTGCCTGGCGAGCGCAAGCACCAGCTTCTAGCCCCAGCACCTCGCGCTCTGCAAGCTGCATAGCAAGACACTGTACCAAATACATAAATTTAAATTTTAAAAACTAATAATTAAAAAGAAAAAAGGCTGGTGAGATAGCTCAGCTGACTAAGTGCCTGCTTAGACAAGCCCAGGAATTGGGGTTTAAACCCCAGCACCACATGCCACACCAGCCCTGCCCCCGGGCATGCTGAGCTGGCCACTGAGACCAGGCATGGTGGTGTACTCCTGTAATCCCAGTGCTGAGGCTGAGACAGGAGGATCACTACAAATCCAAGCCACATGGTGAGACCCTATATCAAATATGTAAAAAAAAAAAAATGAAAATAAAAATATAATAATAATGCAATAGTACCTTAATAGTTTTTAGAAAAACATCTAGGGCCAGGGATATAGCTCAGTGGCACAAGCACCTGTCTGGCAAGCACAAGATCCTGAATTTGATTCCCCATACCAATAAAACGAAACTGTATCTTATATAGAAAATGTTTTGTTTTGTTTTTTTTCTTTTCAAAGTTTTATTGATAAACATATAGCAATGAGACAGTTCCAAATCAAATCGAGAGCACAGCTTCAACAAACAATACACTGCATATATTCTTCTTAGTGGCTATAGAAAATGTTTACACAAATATTTTTAAATCCTTATCTCTGTGTATGACATAAATTATACAAGTAACTAGCCTTCTCTTTTGCATAAGCTATAGACTATTGCTCTGGGTTATCTTTATTTTCCCAGATGCATACCTAACAGGTTTCCTCTGACATCTTTTTCCTCCCAGAAGTGCCTGTGCTGACCCTACCATCGCTCACTTTTCTTGCTCCTACTCAGAATGTCCTCTGACTTGGATCCTCATAAGGTAATTTCTGGGAAGGGGAAGGTTGTTTTTAGTGGGAAAATCTTGCTTGTGTCTACTCACCTTCCTTTCTAGAGTGTGAAATGTGTAAATGTACAACCTCCTATGTAATATGCTACAGAAATATTTCCATTATTTTTGATGTTTAAAAAGTAATTTTAAGACCCTTTCATTATAACTTTTATAGACCTGTCCAGCATATAATTTTTATTCAATTAGAGTCCTATTATTTCTAAATAAATAAGTCAAACAAGAATCTCTGTATTTTCATAAATGCCATTTCAGGGGCTGGAGAGATGGCTCGGTGGTCTAAAGCACCTACTTAGAGCAAGCTTGGCAAAGCATCAGGGACCGCGGTTCAATCCCCCAGC